TTTGTGTGCTGGTCAGGAGCTCACTGTCTGGCTCCATAGACATAAGTAAAATGCAGAGACAAAGTTGCAGCTCCATTTTTCTGTCAGCTGTGATGGATACCTTGTAGTTATGTTTCCCGCCTGTGGTCAGCCTGTTCCTGGAGAGAAACTCAGAACAAAGCTTTAATTTATCAAGCTATTGGGGAGTACATATGTAAGCGGAGGCCATAAATCAGGAGAGCATGTGAATTATTTGGAAGACGTGCAGAGCAGCAAGTAGTCACACAGGAGGTGCTGCGGCTGTTTAGTGTAACAAGATGGCCTCACTTACGTTCACTTAGAGTAATGCAGACATGAAATTATAAAATTTTGGATAAGGGTGCTGGCAGGTCATGATAGAAAGAAGTGGAGGATTAGAGAACTATTTAAGAGAGAAAATCTCCAGAGTTTGGTGACTGATCAGGTGTGGGGGCTGAGGGAAAGAGGTGTCAAGGAAGACTCAGATTTCTGGTTCCTGTCAGCAGGTGAGTGGCTGTGCCATTCACTGGACTAGGGAAACTGGTAGAGGGCCAGTTTGGGGGAAAAATATCTTCAGTTACTCTAACTCTTTTTTCATAACTGTCACCCTGACTAGAAGGGACTTTTATTACGTACTTTTTTGATATGGTTTGAATTTTTATGAGCATGTATTATTTTTATAATCATAATAATAACAGAACAAGTTGAAAAAGACTTTTAGAATTCCACCGTGTCTCTAAAACCTACAATTGTGTGATATAAAATATTATACGTGTGTGTGTGTGTGTGTGTGTGTGTGTGTGTACATATATGACTGGAGAGGGAGAGCGAGCACACTGAGAGAAGTGTTAGGAAATTCAGTGAAGATTATCTGTACAATTTGGAGCTGAAGCTAACAGGCCTTCATCTCTGCCCATCCCACTCCTCCACTCCCTCCACCCCAGTACTGGTGTCTTCTCCAAATCAGGATTTAAGATGGGACTGTTCAAAATGTACGTGAATTTTCTTAGGATTAAGCATCTACTTTGCTTGAAATGATCAGTGGCTCTTTCTAGTTGAACAACTGTAGTATGCTTTATCTGACTCAGTTGTATGGCGTTAGTCTGTTAGATGGTGTCTAATGCCTCTTCTTTCTCCCATTTCTGGGCCTTGCCTGCTTCTCTTATCCCATTCTGGTCTCCTCTTCTGACTCTAACCCCCATCTTTGGTTGGCTGGGTGCCAGTTGGCAGAGCTGTCCTGGGCAGGGATTGAGTGAGGCAATTTTGTATGTTATTTGGTATTTTAAAATGCTTAAACCTTAATAGTGTGTTTTTTAGGCTGTATCAAAATAGCCACATCAAGAATGTCACTGTTGGGCCGGCCCCGTGGCTTAGCGGTTAAGTGCGCATGCTCTGCTATGGGCGGCCCAGGTTCAGATCCCAGGCGCGCACTGACGCACCGCTTCTCCAGCCATGCTGAGGCCGCGTCCCACATACAGCAACTAGAAGGATGTGCAACTATGACATACAGCTATCTACTGGGGCTTTGGGGAAGGAAAAAAAGGGGGAGGATTGGCAATAGATGTTAGCTCAGAGCCGGTCTTCCTCAGCAAAAAGAGGAGGATTAGCATGGATGTTAGCTCAGGGCTGATCTTCCTCACAAAAAAAAAAATAAATAATAATAATAATAAAAAAAGAATGTCACTGTTACAAGGAGTAGCTGTGTGAAACTCAGTATTGTATTTATTGTTCAGATGTGGAGGATGTTGCTCACTTTATCATGCTAAGGTCCTTTGAGAAAACTCATGAGAGACACTTCTTTTATTTTTTTTTTTTGGTGAGGAGATCAGCCCTGTGCTAACATCTGCCAGTCCTCCTCTTTTTTTGCTGAGGAAGACTGGCCCTGGGCTAACATCCGTGCCAATCTTCCTCCACTTTATATGGGACGCCGCCACGGCATAGCTTGCCAAGCAGTGCGTTGGTGCACGCCCAGGATCTGAACCCGCGAACCCCGGGCCGCTGCAGTGGAGCGCGTGCACTTAACCGCTTGCGCCACTGGGCCAGCCCCGAGAGACTTCTTTTAAATGCCATTGCTGGGAAGAGCCTTGCTTCTTCTGCGAAACTGTTAAGTTTTTTATCTTATTGGCTGTGCAGATTCTGTAACTGACTGTATCTCCCTCTTTGCTTTGTCCGCTGAGCAAGTCGGGGCCAGATTAGAAGCTTGCCAGTTCTGCAGGTCCTCTTGGTATGCAGTTCTGTGTGCATCTGGCTGCATCTTATTACCCTACCTTTGTTTTCCGTTCACAATGATTGTTTTCTAACTTTTTAAAAAAATTTTAAGGAATACTTTAAAAATATATGTAATCTTTAAAGAATGACAGTACAATGAATGCTAGTTTAAGAAAAAATATCCCTTTGGAGTTGCCAATGTGTCCCCAAACTCCCATCCCATTTCTTACTTCCTCAGAGGTAACCACTACTCTGAATTTTATGTTTCTGTTTCCTTTGCTTTTTGTAATTGTATACCATATGTATTCCTGTCCTTAAACTAGAAATTGTTTGAAGCTGAGGTAAGGGGAGTCACTGTATGTATTCTGCAGCCTGCTTTCTTCATGCAACTTTGTGTTCTGAGATTCGTCTGTGTTGTTATGTGTGAGTGTAGTGCATTAATCCATTGCTTTGTAAGATTCCACTGCATGAATATGCCTGGATGAATTTATCTGATCTACTCATGATGGGCATTTGGAGTGTTGTCAGTTTTTGCTGTTGCTAACAGTCCTGCTACAGACATTCTTGTTAAATATGTGCAGGCTTTTTTCCAGATCCGGGTTTCTCAGCCTTAGCACTATTGACATTTTGGGCCAGATGTGAGGGGCTATCCCGCTTACTGTAAGATGTTTGGCAGCATCCCTGGCTTCTCTTTGCCAGACACCCATAGCACCCGTCCCTCTCAAATTATGACAACCAAAAATATCTCCAGATATTACAGAATTGCCCCAGCTGGAACCAGTGCTCAAGACTAGGGGTTGGCAAACTTTTTCTGCAAAGACAGTAAGTGTTTTAGGTTTGTGGGCCATGTGGTCTTTGGTCTCAACTAATCAGCTATGCCTTTGTGGGACAAAAGCAGCCATTGGCAATACGTAAATGAATGGATATGGCCATGTTCCAATAAAACTTTATTTACGGAAATAGGCAGGCCACCTAGATTTGGCCTGAGGGTGGTAGTTTGCAGTCTCTTGCTCTAGTCTGGATCAGTAGGAAATATATTTTATAGCCTCACCCAGTACATATAACTCATATATATAACTGAAACAAAAGTTTCACGAAACGGTGCTTACCCTTACTATGTGTGATCCAGTTTGGTATTTTCTTTTTTATTCCAAATCTCAGTCAGTACATCCACTAAATTGACTTCAAGGCCCCATTGAGTTGTGACTAGCAGTTTGAGAAACTTGATTTGCTCAGTTATAGAGGTATGCACATCTTTAACTTGAGTCGATAGTCTCTATACTTATATAAGGCATTTCAAATCCCTTTTAGAAGGAGATAGAATATAGATAAATACCACACTGTATGTATGCTTTTGTTTCTAAAATATAGATTGGATCAGTCACTCCTTTGCTTAAAACCTGAAATAGCTTGTGTGTGGTGGCGTACACAGTGTTTTCGTCTGGCTCCAGTCTGCTTTTCTAGGCTTCTCTTTTATCACTCACTCTGTGCTTCCTGTGCTCTAACCACTTGGAATTATTGTTTCCCAAATGTGCCATGCCGTGCTGTTTCAAAGTGTATTTTTTAGGCTGCTTTCTTTATGGAATGTTCCTCTTTTACTTTGCCTAGTGAATTTTTTGTCCTTCAAGGACCACGTCACATCTTGCTCCATTCATTTATTTAACATATTATGAGCACTTCCCTAGGTGCTAAGGATTCAGCAGGGAATTGGACAGAGTCCCTGGAGTCTGGAATGGGGAGACAGATACTAAAAAGGTAGACCAATAAATAATTTCAGAAAGTGATGAGGGCTGAAGAAAATAAAATAGGGTAAAATAGTAGATTGATGTGGATGGAAAAAGGTGCTACTTTAGATAAGACAGGGAAAATTCTGAAGAATTTTCTGAAGAATTTGCTCTTTTAGCTGAGATTCGAATGATGAAACAGAGGCCGCTCTTTCAGCACTTTAAAAATGTTGTTCTGCTTCCTTCCGGCCTCCATAGTTCCTCATGAGAAATCCATAGACATCTGAATTGTTCCCTTATAGATAATGTATTGTTTGCCTGGTTGCTTTCAAGAGTTTTACTTTGTCTTTCAGTTTTTCACAGTTTGACTGTGATGTGTCTGGGCATGGATATTTTTGGGTTTATCATGTTTGAGGTTTTCTGAATGTCTTGAATCTTGGGTTTATATACATGAGGGTTTATTTCTGGCTCTCTAGTCTATTCCATTGGTGTATTTGTCTGTCTTTATGCCAGTGCCACATGTTTTTGATTACTGTGGCTTTGTAATATGTTTTGAAATCAGGAAGTCTGAGTCTTCCAACTTTGTTCTTTGTCTACAAAATTGTTTTGGCTATTTGGGGTCCCTTGAGATTACATGTGCATTTTAGGTTGAATTTTTCTGTGTTTGCAAAAAATGCTGTTGGGCTTTTGATAGGGATTGCATTGAGTTTGTAGATTGCTTTGGGTGGTATGGACATCTTAACAGCCCAATAAATATTTTTTTAATGAATGTACATTGACTATTACTCTTACACTGAATGAATTTGATGCAGTTCTAGGTTTATTCTGTTGAATATTCCCAACAGCTAAACATGCTTTGAAGGTCTTCCTAGTGAATTAGGTCCTTCCTCCAAACCTGTTTCTAGATTCAGAAATGTCAAGACCGCTTGCTGACTGTAATCTGGGAAGGAGAAATGTCATCTTGGGAGCTCGTAGGTCCAGGATGTAAGGAGAGAAATCTGTTTGACTTGTGTATATTTTTGTTTTGGTAAATTTTGTTTTATTTTCTTGACTTGTACTTTACTTTTCCATGCAGAGATGTGATGATGGATCATCATGTTTCCACCATCAAGCCTCGAAGAATCCAAAACCAAAACGTCATTCACCGCTTGGAACGCCGGCGGATCAGTTCAGGCAGGGCGGGCACCCACTGGCATCAGGTCCGAGTGTTTCACCAGAATGTCTTCCCCAACTTCACAGTCGTCAATGTTGAAAAGCCTCCTTGTTTCTTGCGAAAATTCTCACCTGATGGACGCTACTTTATTGCTTTCTCTTCAGACCAGACATCTCTCGAAATCTATGAGTACCAGGGCTGCCAGGCAGCCGAGGACCTACTGCAGGGCTATGAGGGGGAGATCCTGTCCAATGGCAATGACCAACGGTCAGTCAACATCCGCGGCCGGCTCTTTGAACGCTTTTTTGTCCTGCTGCACATTACCAACGTAGCGGCCAATGGTGAGCACCTGAACCGGGAGTGCAGCCTCTTCACTGACGACTGCCGGTGTGTCATCGTGGGCTCAGCTGCCTACCTCCCTGACGAGCCTCACCCACCTTTTTATGAGGTATATCGGAACAGTGAATCCGTGACCCCCAACCCACGGTCCCCTCTGGAGGACTATTCCCTCCACATCATTGACCTTCACACTGGCCGCTTATGTGACACACGCACCTTCAAGTGTGATAAAGTGGTCCTGTCACACAACCAAGGGCTGTACTTGTACAAAAACATCCTGGCCATCTTGTCAGTGCAGCAGCAGACCATCCATGTCTTCCAGGTGACCCCTGAAGGCACTTTCATTGACGTGAGGACCATTGGCCGCTTCTGCTATGAAGATGACCTCCTCACTGTGTCAGCAGTTTTCCCTGAGGTGCAGCGGGACAGTCAGACAGGCATGGCCAGTCCTTTCAGAGATCCCTTCATCAACTCCCTGAAACACCGGCTGCTCGTGTACTTGTGGCGCCGGGCAGAACAGGATGGTAGTGCAATGGCCAAGAGGCGCTTTTTCCAGTATTTTGACCAACTGCGGCAGCTGCGCATGTGGAAAATGCAGCTTCTGGATGAAAACCATCTGTTTATCAAGTATACTAGTGAGGATGTAGTAACGCTGCGGGTCACAGATCCATCACAGGTACGTGGTGCTCTCCTCCCCTTTACTCCTCCAGTCTCCTTGGTAAAATGGGAAGGTTTCTGTCTTTGCTATAGCCAACCTCTCATAAATACACATTTTTTGCTATCACAGGGCTCAGACTTAAGACAGCTCTGTTTTTCTCTGGCCACATATATGTATTTGGACAAATGGAAGCTAAATCTCAAGTCATTGACATGTGGTTAGTCAACTCTGTGGTCATTGCCCTAGTTCTTCTGCAGACCATTTTCATTACCCTCGAGATGGAAGCCCAAATGCTAGCTACACGGTCAACGTTTGGACTGCCAGTGGATGATTCTCCCTTGATTTTGTGAGACTGCTTGTTGGTCTGACTGCTTTAGTTCTGGCAGTGAGAATGAGCTCACCATCCAAAAACATCCTCTAAAAATGTAGCCTCTCTTTCCTGTTTAAATAGTTAATGTCAGTATACTTTTTCACAAAGTCTTCTTTAGCAAGTTACTAATAGGTAGGTTCATTTGACAGAGTTTTAAGTTTTATGACTTTACCCCGACCTTGCCCACATGCTGGAACATAGGTTGTAGAACAGTGAAAAGATCAAGAGGAAGCCAAAATTTCTGATCCCCCAAGCGAATCATCAGGAGTGCAGGTCCTGAGAGTTTTTCTGTTTGGGTGAAAGATCTTGGTAGGGGAGAGAGGCATTTCTCAAATGGGAATAAGGTGGTGGTAAGAGCACAGAAACCTCTAAGCCTCTTGGCTTGAAACACCATGCTGAAATTCAGGGTAATTTGGGCATTTCCCTTAGAGAAGCTCTCCACTTCAGTGTTGACCAAGTAAGAGACCTAGTTGTCTGTACCTTTGCCCCTCATTCTCCTGTTTCCAGATGGTCTCCTTAGGTACTAGTTTGGAAATTCAAAACAAAGAGCAAAACCAGTAAACCCTGAAGTCAGCTGAATCTGGTGTCTCCCGTTGACGTGTATCTGATTCTACATTAAGAGAGACTGTACAGAGCATTTGTCTCCTAAGACCTTACCAGCCATCCATGGTAAATGTTTTCTAACATTTTTCTTTGGAATCATAGCTTGTGTATTCCAAAAAAAAAAAAAAAAGGAGGAGGGAGTGATATGGTTAGAGAAAATTTTTTCTGGATTTTTTTTCTTCTTATCAATGATGAAGTCAGCCATTGAGCCATCGTAGGTGAGCATCTAGTTCATCTTATGCGCCATGGGAGATTGGTGGTGAAGCCCTTGACCTCTGTGCCCTCCTGACCTGTATTTCCCAGTCAGCCCTAGAGGGGAGGCTAGTAAATGTTTGTATAATTCTGTACTCACATAATTATGATGGATCCTGGTGAAGCCCTGATATGATCAAAGTGTTGTCCAGGTCTGTAGAAAGGATATGAGTCAATCTTTTATTTAGGTTTGAGCTATAATTACCTTTTTATTTTGGAGGGCATGAGTTGTCTGTGATTGTTGTACTCGAGATTATCCTTTTTTCCTTTGCTAAAACATGACCCACTTCTTTTTGGTAGCTACAATAAGCTAGAAACATGACTAGGGCTCTGAGCTTTGCTTACAGAGTTGGTAACTTTACACCCAGTCTCTCTGCACTAGTTGTCCTCCCCTCTCCTTCCCCAGTTTAATTTGATAAGTTCCAATAAGGTTAATGAGTAAAAAGTGCATCCAGACACAAAGCCTTGCTAATATTATGGGTATTATTCTCAGGTTACCCTCCAGTCTCTTTAATTTACAGCCAAATTTAATTTCCAGGTGACCGCAAAAGTCTTGTAAGATAAGCTCTGGGAAGGACTAATTACTAGTAAGACAGGTGGGCCAAATGGCTCCAGAAATTACTAATGGAGATTTAAACTCAATCGTAGGTCGGGGAATACTAATCCTAGTGTTTTAAAAACTTCTAGAGTCCTGTTGGAAGCTTGCGGATTGATTAACACTGCCACATTCACTGTGACAAAAACGAGGGGTTCCTGGAGTTTCGTTGTTAGGCTGAGCAGAGCATTGGGGATTTAAAGGAAGAGGGTTAGTCACCCAGGGGCCCATTCAGAAAAAGCAGTGACTCTGCCATCTAGGGCATTTGAATGCTTTTCAGGTTCCCCCTCTGATCTTAATTGCTACAAATCTCAGATGTATCTTACAGTTGCTCTTGGCTGAACGAACACTTATGAAGAAAGAAAGGGAAAGTGCCTCTCTGATTTTTCGTTTGTTCAGCAGCAGTACCCTGCTTGGTTACGACTTGCCTGGGAAGTTTTAGGACACAATGTACTTCAGGCGTCTCTCTGCATGTTAGAAATATTAAGAGGGAAAATAAATGCCCCTAAATTGAACTTTCAACTGTACATATACAAGAGAAAATAATTTGCCAATAGGCAGCTCCAGGCTGCAAAACACTTTCTCAGCAGGAAGGAAAATTAAATCTGGCATTTTAGAAAAGTGTTTTTTATCTCAGGGTGGTTTGGGGAGCAAGTAGGGAATAAACACTTTGAAGAAAAAATACTGAATTTGCACAGTCTGAAATGAAAGATTGAAAACCTTTTTATACATATATGCTGGCCGATCAGTAATTCTAGCAGCACAGATAGAGTGGGAAATCTGGCGACACTGAGGCCCTTGGTTGATGAAGCCCACTGGGGCTTCCTCCTTTCCCAGAATCACTTGGAGCCATGTTTCTGCTCTAGTGCTGGAGCAGAAGTGTTTGTTTCTTTTACTTGGGTAACTTGAATTTTCAGCCATGTGATAAGTTTCCAAGGCATGGCAGTATATCCAGCTGTCCCATAGCTCTCTCTGTTCTTCTGCAGGCGTCTTTCTTTGTGGTGTACAATATGGTGACAACAGAGGTGATTGCTGTGTTTGAGAATACGTCAGATGAGCTTTTAGAGCTCTTTGAGAACTTCTGTGACCTATTCCGTAATGCTACCCTGCACAGTGAAGTCCAGTTTCCCTGCTCAGCTTCCAGCAACAATTTTGCAAGGCAGATCCAGCGCCGGTAAGCTGTTCCACCAGGCTTAACAGGCTTAATTTTTTTTTTTTTTAGAAAATTCATTGGTGTTAGGCCAATAGTCATATCGTCTAGGAAACCTGCCCGTATTCTCCCTGCCCACGCAGCTTTGGTTAGGTCTGCCTGTTGTAACCTCTTGTGTCATCCTGGACTTCTCCTTTCTCTCTCTTAGCACCTGTGGAATTACTTGTGCATTGTCTGTGATTTCCTCCTAGACTGTATGTGAGCTGCAGAAAAATAGAGACTGTGTCTATTATTTATTGCTATATCCTCAGTGGTACACCGTAAAGCCTTTACATATTTGTTGAATGAGTGGCTAAGGAAATAATTTTAGAACTTTTGGTTAAACGTGGTCTGTTGAACACATGTATTTATCCCTGGTCCATCCCCAAACCCCACTAAAATGACAATAAAGGAATAAGAGGTATAAACTTATAAGAACAAAGAGAATGGGAGAGGAGACATTAGAGACAGGAGATACCAACTGAATTTTGGAAGCTAAAAAGCTAATGGATGAGTGATAACTGACTTGGCATATGTCAGAGAGCAGAAAAAAGACTGCAGAGCTTAGCCATCAAGAAACAAGTTGCCTTGTGCCAGAGAGCTCTGGAAAGGGTCAGAGAAATGGAGGCCCTAAGTCCCTCTGAAGCTACCTGTGAGGTAGGCTGAAATCGGGAGGACTGGGTGAAGTTCTTGAAAGGAAACATCAGACTCTACCTCCCTTGTCTAAGCCTACTCCACCAAATGACTGTCTCTTACCCATCTCAGCAGAAGGCTGGAGGTTTATTCTTTGGAGAAATTGAACCATGCAGGCTCTGGTTTCACATTCATAAGGCATAGCTGAGAGTAGGGATGAGATATGTCATGCTAAAAACAAGAATTAAGTGAAACTGACATACTGAAGGGTAAAACTCCCATCTGCCTAATCAGATATGACATCTAGGCTTATACTTGCCAGGCAACAGGTTAGAGACTTTTCCCTAGGGAAACTGACCAACCCAAAGAAGGGACTTTCAGATATTGACTTGGAGTCCCTTCACAAAACACCTAGGTCACCCCAAATTGATACCTACCAGTCAGCAAGGCCCTCCTATAAACCAGAACTTCTAATAATTATCTGAGTACATTTTGTGAAATGAGTGGTTACTTTGAGCCAATGGCCTGAGCAAATCCTACTCTAGTCAGTCAGTGCCTCATTGGATTCCACATACTAAATTGTTCCCTGACCTTAGCCAGTTGTGGAAAGTATCTGCTTTCGGTCCCAAGATGGATCAGACCAGAGTGAATGGATGAATCAGAATAAGCATTCCTGCTACTGGGAAAAATGAGCAAAGCAGATATGTTAATGCAGTGGCATCATATTTATATAAAGGGATAGTACCCAATTAGAAATAGATGGGTATTGATTTTCAGACAACTAACTTGCCTTTTCCCTTTTCTCTAGTTCACACAAATTTTCTGCCTTATTAGCATTTCTAATTAGTATAGAAGAGGGCCGGCCCCGTGGCTTAGCGGTTAAGTGCGCACGCTCCGCTGCTGGCAGCCCGGGTTCGGATCCCGGGCGTGCATCGACACACCGCTTCTCCGGCCATGCTGAGGCCACGTCCCCCATACAGCAACTAGAAGGATGTGCAGCTATGACATACAACTATCTACTGGGGCTTTGGGGAAAAAATAAATAAATAAATAAAATTAATTAGTATAGAAGAATTTTTGGAAGCAGAACGTGGATCAGATTTTGCTTTTTTCATTTTGGAATGAATTTTATTCTTTTAAAATTAACTTTAAAATTAAGCAGATCATTATCAACTAATAAAAGCTGGGTACACTCAGTCAAAACATCAAAGAAGTCACTAGAAGTTAAGCTCCATGGGGCAGGGATTTGTGTCTTTATATTCACTGCCGTATCCACATCACCTAGGCAGTGGCTTTTACTTGGGAGGAGCTTGTTAGGTATTTGTTGGATGAATGAAGTCATCCAGGAATTAGAGGAAGCTATGTTTTCTGAAAATTATTTCAGAAATTATAGGAAGCCCCAGGAGGAGAAAATAGAAGTTGAATAGAAAGGTGGTCTGCCCAGCTTTGTGATCCTTAAAATTTTTCTTCATACCATCAAAAGATTTTGGAAAACTGCAGATATCCTCACATCAATTTTTAAGTTGATCTTTAAATTTTTTTACTATTAAATTTGAATAGTGGCAGAGGATGCAATTTACAGTGTGTAGTAAACATTGACATTTAAAAATAAAAGTATTACAACACTTATTTTTTTCCAGCTTTATTGAGATATAACTGGCATATAACATTGTGTAAGTATAAGGTGTACAATGTAACACTTGAATATAGCCAAGGGAGTCTAAATACCATAGTAATTTTGTATTCAATATTTGATATAAAAAGTACAGAGCAGATTATTCCTCTACTGTTTGAAATTTTACATTGTTTCTTCTTATCCTCAAATTCATATCTCTATTCTATCTCCCCCACAGAATTATATCCTAATGTAACATATTTTATTAACCATCTTATATACTTTGCTGCATTGAAAATATGTATATATAAGTTGAAATTATTTTTTTTCTTGTGAACACATGGCTCTAAATGCTCAAATTTACAATCTCCAATAATCTTTTGGTAAAAATAAATAAAAATGGGAGCCAGCCCGGTGGCATAGTGGTTAAGTTCAGTGCGCTCCACTTTGGCGACCGGGGGCTCGTGGGTTTGGATCGTGGGCGCGGACCTACACCACTCATCAAGCCATCTGTGGTGGTATCCCACAGACAAAATAGAGGAAAATTGGCACAGATGTTAGCTCAGGGCCAATGTTCCTCACCAAAAAATAAATAAATAAAAATTGATCCATTATAGGTTAGAATAAATCTTTAAGGGAAAAAATGGGCACTAAGGATCACGAGTCACTTAAGGAAAGCCTTTGTCTTGAAAGATAGAGACCAAAATAAAACAGACAGTATAAAGAATAAAGAAACAACATTGCATTCATTGAAGTAATTAAAGCTATAAAAATAGGAACATTCCTAAAATAGTGATATGCTTTAGAAATGTAAACTTTGTTAGATATACGTAGTTGAGGAACTCTCCAAGAAAGGAGAATAGAAAGATAAGAGTAGGAAAATGGGAGAGAAACGATAAAAAAAAATTAGAAGATTTGCTCAGGAGGTCCAATATCTATCTAATTCCAGAAGGGGCAGTAGAGGAAATGAAGGGGAGGAAATAATGTGAGACAGTTTTCCAGTACCAAAGAATATAAATTTCCAGATTGGCAAGGACCATCCAGTGGTAGGCTGGAGCTGGCTTGTACTGGCTCATGAGAGCCAATTGTTAAACTTTCAGGAATTTTTGCAAGCTGATTGTTAAACAAGGCCATTATTAAAAATTAATTATTTACTAATTGTTATTTCATAATTATTTTACTATTTATGCTCTTGAGAGTATTTGTGTCTATTTTATCTGTATTGTGAAAATACTATATAATGATGTGCTACTGCTCATCTCTTGACAACTCTGCATTCAGTGGTGTCACGTTGGTATCTTAAAATTGACCACAGCAGGAGGAATTAAACCACAGAAATTGGCAAGCTCTGTAAATCATGCCTTTTTTCCACTCAGAGAAATAACTATTAAACCTTTATTAGCACATCAGTGGCTTCATTAAGTACACAGTACAATCAATGAAAAGAAAGACCTATACTAAGACATATCATCATGAAATTTTAGAACATTGGGGATAAAGAGAAAATTGTAAAAACTTTCAGAAAGAACATACATTTTACATATAAAAAAATAAGTCATCTGAATAGCATTGGACTTAGCAATAATAAGTCTGAAAGCTTGAAGCCATTAAAATCATGGCCTCAGAATTCTGTGAAAAAAATGATTTCCAAGCTAGAATTCTACATCCAAATAGTAGGGTGGAACAAAGACATTTTCAGACATGTAAGATCTCAAAAAATTACCCCCCATCTACCTTTTCTAAGGAAGCCTCTGGAAGATGTATTTTCCCAATAAACCACAAAAGAATGGTACAGGAAATAGAGAGTCTGACACGGGGGAGAAGCAAAAAGAATTCCAAGGGTGATGGTAAAGGAAAGTTCCAGGATGACAGACCACCATGTGGATCAGGTGGAAGCAAGAGGGTGGAGGTTTCCAAGAGGGATGTATCCAGGGAAATGTTAAAATCATTAGAATATCTGGTGAGTTTGAGTATATTAAGAAGAGATGGTCAGTTCTGTTCTAGCAGGGTTGTCAGCATAGGCCTCACTGAGAAGGTGCTATTTGAGCAAAGCTTTTGAAGGAGGTCAGGGAGCAAGCCGTGTGGGTGTGGACGTCGGAGGGAAGAATATACCAAGCGAAGGGAATATCAAATCTCAAGGTCCTGAGATAGGTCTCATGCGTTTGAGGAACACCAGGGAGGTCAGTGTGGCTGGGCTGGAGTGAGCAGGAGGCAGACTAAAGCTTTGGCTTTAGCTCTGCATGTGATTGTGGAGTGTTTTAGCAGAGTGACGGGATCTCACTTCAATTTTAGCAGAATTACTCTGGCTGCTGTGTTAATGATAGACTGTAGGAGAATAGGGTGGAAGCAGGGACACCAGTTAGTAGACTATTGCAATGACCCAATAAATAAAATGATTGCATTCTGTTTCCTGCCACTAGGATTTCAGTTCTTTTTTGTTCATTTATAATATCCTAAGCACCTAGAAGATAACCTGGCACGTACTAGGCCATCAGTAATTATTTGTTGGTTGAAAAATGGTAGCTTGGATCAGGATCGTAACATTGGGGGTATATTCTATCTTAATGTATTTTGAAGATAGAGCCCAAAAGATTAGTGGAGGATGGGATATGGGCTGTGAAAGAGCAAAGTCAAAGATGATTCTAACATTTTTGGCTTAATAACTTGCAAGAGAGAGTTACCATGAAACTGTGATGGCAAAGCTTGTGGGTGGAGCAGGTTTAGGGGAGAAGATCAGAAGTTCTTTAAGTGGAGAAGTTAGTAGTTTCTCTGAGGAAGGAGTGTCAGATCCTCCTGATGAGGACTGATAACCAGCTACTGGAATTAGCAACATGGTGATCATTGGTGACCTTGATGAGAGTAGTTTCAGTGAGATGATGGAGGTGAAAGCCTGTTTGGAGTGGGTTTAAGAAAGAATGGGAGGAGAAGAATTGGAGACAGTATGTAAAGTGTTTTGAGGAGAGCTGAAAAATTGTGCATTAGCTGGAAGGATAAGCAGTGTTAAGTTTTTGTTTTTGTTATTTTCTAAATGGGAGGAAAAGTGGTGTGTTTGCATGCAGATGGGACTGATCCTGTAGATAGGGGAGAAATTGATGGTTTAGGAAAAGGGGTGGGGGAGAATTGGTTAAGTAAATGGAAGGGAATGGGTCCTAGTGCCCAAGTAGAGGGATTGGCCTTACAAGGCAGCAGAGACAATTATATAGGTACATATGTGCTGGTGGGAGGTTTAAAAAGTTCTCTTCTCATTGCTTCTGTTTTTCAGTAACAAAGTAGGCAGTGCTACTAGGGGCTGGTGACCATGGAGGAAGGGGGTTGACATAGTCATCAAAGAGAGTGGAAGACTCACTGGACTGTGGGAATGTAGTATGAGTACCCCGCAACATTAAGGGCCTACATGAGGTTCGTGGTTATAAATTTAAAGTGAGCATTTTTGTATGTTTTTCTCCACCCATAGAGAAAACGGAGTGGATACAGGCATGGACTAGGGAGAGTTGAGCTTCACTGGAGTTGTAGTTTTTCCAAGTAACTACCACAAAGCAAGAGCAGACAAGGTTGTTGAGGGTGAGTGCAGTGGGTGATTTTAATGACTGACTGTGGAATTTAAACTGGCTAAGGAAAGAAGGAAGGACCTGATGAGGGTGTAGGATGGCAAAAAGTTGGTAGAATCAATGGATTGTAGGTCTCATTGAGGTTGAAGGATTGTTGAAGCTGGGATGAGTAGAGGGTCTGAGCTGGAAAAATAACAGAAAAGATAGTTGGAGAGTGTGGTACTCTACCCTGAGATTACAGAGGGCTTGCAGTCATTGGTAATGGTGAGATTGAGGGTATGACTGTGGGAATGAGTGGCTGAGGCAGAGAGGAGGTCCAGGAACTAGGAGGCCGTGATGTTGGAAGGATCATCTCTGAGAATTTGGAAATCACCATGAATTAAGAGAGGTATAGTTGGAGTGACAGTGAGCCAGGAGTTAAATGGGTGAAACCATCAGAGGGATGACTGCTTCATCTTGTAGTCAGTGAGAAGCATGGCGACTGGAGGTGGTAGGTGCTGCTGGGGAAGAGGAACTGGTTCAATGTATAGATTCTCATGGAGGCTTTTGACTTTGTCATGGAGGATCGTGACAAAGCTGTGGGCCAGCCCCCATCATTTGAAACCACCTTTTGAAGCCTGAGCCAGGCAGGGTTGGAGGGTAGGTTAGGAGATGCAGTACTAGATCTTGGCTGAAAAAGGGCTGAAAATCAAAGAGCCCAGGATCTTTGATTCTAGTTCAAATGAAAGGGAAAGAAATAAATTCTGTTTGGCCCAAGGTTTAATTTTATGATTTACACTGAGGCTGTGAAAATTAATGTCAAGAGGAGTAATGGAAAAGCAGTGTTGATAGCTAGGCTTTCTTCTGGGGGAACTGAGAAGTGTTAATATCCATCTAGCAGCACAGGTTAACAGTGAAGACAAAAATCAAAACCCATTGAATCAGTCTTCCGGTCTCATCACAGTTAGGAACACTCAAGTTTTTTATTTTTTTAGTTTTTATTCCATTAGTTCCAGGGATAAGATGTTATATCATATCATCCCCCCGGACTAAAAAAAAATTATTTTCCCTTTGATTGTTAAACCATATGATATGCTTTGATATAGAGATTTTTAAAAATACGTACTGATAGTTGACATTCTTTCTAAGAAACTGTAGGAAAGTGAAAAAGAAGAAAAAAAAATCCAAAATGTCATTACATAAACACAACTATTACCATTTTGATGTATTTCTACCAGTCTTTTTTTTAGGCATATATTTTTTTCTTTGTATTTTTAATCATACTATGTGGATAGAATATAGCCAATTTCTTTTACTTACCATTATGATAAACATTTCCTCTGTTACCATATACTCTTTAAAAATTGTAGTTTTCCATTAGGTTTTTAATTTTTCCATCAGTTTTTCATTGTCATAAACAATGCTGTGTTGAATGTGCACAGAGATTTTTCTGCATATAGGGTTGCTTCCTTAGGGTAAATTTCCAGAAGAATAGAAGTACTTGGTCAAAGGGTATTAAATTTAGTATTCGTTACAATTGTGAGAAATAACTGCTTCATTATTATTAAAGATAAATTAGATATGTGACTCTGTGTCCATGTTACTCTTGTAGATATTGATGTTTCTGCAGGAATATAGGTAGCTAGCTCCAAACTTTATTTAAACAAAGAATGAGTAATCTGTCAAAAGGTTTGATGAAAGTTGGCTTATAACTGATCCCAAGAAGAGTCAGAGAGAGGCTGCTTCTCTTCAGGATTCTCTGTTCTCTATAACTCCTTTCTAATGCAATGTAAGGCTATTATTTGGGGAAAGTAAGTTTGAATAGAAATAGCTGTCATAGATTAGTTATACTCATTTTAGACTTATTTGTAGAGTCTTTGTTAACTTTCCTAAAGTAACTTAATGTTTCTAATTCTGTTTTCTGCTTTTTGAGAGTATTTGTAGCTAGGCAGACTTGTGATGTATGAGAGTTCTGACTTCATTTAGTGTCTTGATTTCTGTTTACAGAATGAGTTGTTTTTAGACATATGTTTGTCAATTTAACATCCACGGCAGCTTTGTGCGCCCACTAACACAGCCTTCCTCACTGGTGCTTTCTTGTAGGTTTAAAGACACTATTGTCAATGCCAAGTATGGAGGGCACACGGAGGCAGTACGCCGGCTGCTGGGTCAGCTGCCCATCAGCGCCCAGTCTTACAGTGGTAGCCCCTACCTCGATTTGTCTCTCTTCAGCTACGATGACAAGTGGGTGTCGGTCATGGAGCGGCCCAAGACTTGTGGAGATCACCCTATCAGGTACTGTCACTGCTTCAACCACGAGCCACCTAAGGCCTGAAGAAGGTCATGTCCTCTTTCTCTTCTTCTTGGGCACCATTTCACCGTGACTGTGTCCACTTGTACTCGGGGTGAATTGAAAGGGAAGACTATTTCTATAATGTGGTGAGTGCTTTGATCATTTAGGCACTAGTCTGGTAAATTAACTAGTTCTACTCTTTGCTTCTCATCAAAACATCCAATTCAGATCAGTATTGTTCCCTTTTAAAGGTATCCAGGAAAGGAAACTATACTTTTCCATTTAATAATCTAATACCAATTCGAAATAGTGTTTATAGTTTAGACTTTTTAATTTTATCTAGCTCAAATTCTTTTATTCCCCCATGTTATCTAGTAGAAAAGATAGCAGAGACAATTTGGGGAATAGACAGGTTTTGGAGAAACTCATGCTTCCTCACATGGAGGAATTTTGGAATGTAGATGACTGTATTATTGCTAGAACCCTGAAATAATCTCTTACAAGCAGTCCCTGCCTCGCAGATGTCCGGTTCACAGACCTGCCTGTCTCTCCGTGTCGGGAGCCTGTGTTGTTCTGTGTGCTGTAACAGGTCCTGCCCCCACTCTCACTAGTGGGGTTATTTCAAGGGAGGTGTGTTCCTGGAGCCCTGAGCTGGAGCGTGGAAGGTCTTTTTCACATAGAAACAATGGCAGTTGGTATTGCATAGTCCAGCTTCATTGTGTATTAAATAGGCTTGGGTAACATATTCTGTTCAATTAATCACCATTCCTAATATAGCCTTTGGGAAATTGCAGTCATGTTCCAAAAACCAGTTAAAAAATTTTTTTTTATTATGGAAAGTTTTAAACATATACAAAGTAGAAGAGGTCATGAACCTCCATGTTCCCCTCAGACAGCTTTAGTAGTTATCTCCTCATGGTCAATGTTGTTTCATCTCTTTCCACCACAACCACTACTCCTTCCTCTCTGGATTGCCACCCGGGATTATTCTGAAGCACATCCCAGGTATCATAGCATTTTCCTCATAAATATTTCAGTCTGAATTTCTATAAGATAAGGAGTTAAAAAAATACAACTCAGTACCATTATTCCATCTTAAGAAAATTAACAGTTTATTAAGACCACCAAATATCGGTCAGTTTTCACATTTCCCTATTGTCTTGTAAATGTTCTTTTTACAGTTGGTTTGTTCCAGTCATGATCTAAACAAGGTTCATATGTTGCATTTGGTTGCTATTCCCTTAAGTCTTTTTTTTTTTTTTTTTTTTGGTGAGGAAGATCAGCCTTGTGCTAACATCCATTGCCAGTCTTCCTCTTTTTGCTGAGAAAGATTAGCCCTGAGC